TGTCAGCATGGTACAGAGTCACTTGTGAAAGCAAGAGAGAATGGTTCGGTTACTTACATCGTACAGCAACTGGGGGAAGATAACTGGAGGTCCAGGTTTCCGGCCGAAACTGGAATTCAGGGACAGTGGACAGAAGACGGAGCTGTGGTTAGTGAGGGCCACAAGGGACATCACACAGTTCATCAGCTGGTACATACTGGTGTGCAGGTCCTTGAGGAGAAAGAAGTGTGAAAATGACTTTGTGCCCCTCCATGGGGACAGTCTAGTGCACCCTACATCTTCCCGGAGACAGTACATCCCCCCAACCCGAAAGACAACCTGGTGGTCCTCTGCCTCCCTCTTCCAGGAGACACAACCTGGTGGTCTTCCCTCTTCTAGGAGGCAACCTGGTGGTCCACCCTCTTACTGGGGACAGTCTGGTGGTCCTCCCTCTTACTGGGGACAGTCTGGTGGTCCTCCCCCACACTCTTGCTGGGGACAGTCTGGTGACCCCTCTTCTTGGGGACAGTACATCTCCCATCCCAAAGACAACCTGGTGGTCCTCTGCCTCCCGCTTCCTGGGGACGGTCTGGTGGTTCTCCCTCTTCCTGGGGAGTCTGGTGGTCCATCCATGCCTCCCTAGGAACATTTTGATGGTCTTCCCCCTCCCTGTTCCCCGGGACAGTCTGGTGGTCCATCCGTCTCTAGGGACAGTTTAGTCCTCACCCGCTTCCAGGGCACAGTCTGCCCCCACCACTCACCCTCTGCTCCGATAGTACTGGGCTTGTTCCAAAGCTGAGGATGCCGCGGCCGGGGTACTCATCGTGTATCAGCTCCGCCATCTTGGCTCCAGCTCCGGAGAAGCCATTGTGTGTGTCACAGAGGATGTGAAAACCCTGAAACAGAAAAAGAACATGTCAGCCCAGACTCCTCCCCCCCCCACACACTCAGCAATCACCGCACTGCCACCACACTCACCTGCAGGTAGTCGCACTCCTCAGAGAAGAAACGCAGTCGGTCCTCCACCTCTTCCAGGTGGGACGCGGCCTTAAGAAGCGATTCACCTTGACTGAATGATTCCAGGCCGCCGGTAACCCTACGCACAGGAGACCCAAGGAAATCGACAACCAAGAATTACACAAAAACATCCAATTACAATATATGATGGTGGGGCTGATCATGTGACCTTGTCCTGCTCCCCAAACTCCCGCAATCTACCCACAGTCACACCCCCTCGCTCACCCGCCATGGTTGCGATGGCTCAGCATACACAGAGACTTGGGGTGTAGCGGAGTGCGCAGGTAGTCAGACCACACCCCATCACGTGGGATTGGCTGACGGGACGCCCCCCTGTTGTACAGAATGGCTCCTCCTCCTCCTGCCAGACCTACAAAAAAAAAAAAAACACAAGAGAATTCTCCATCATACACGTCACCTGACCATGGGTGCAACCCTGCTTCCAGGAAACAAAACGCAGTTCTCATCTCCTAATCTACGTCACATGAATGAGAAACATTAGGCCTCATCAATAATGGAATTTATTGTCCCAGAGTCGAGACGGGAGGCCATAAATATGCTCAACAAAATGGCTGGAGTACAGGTGATCTTCCCACTGGCATCTCCTGTCTATGAATCCCCTTCCCCAACGCCATTTCCTGTCTATGGACATCTTGCCCCCCCCCCGAAGTCACTCGTCTATGGACACCTGGCCCCCTCACCATCTCCTGTCTATGGACACCACGTCAACTGCCATCTCCAATCTATGGATATCATGGCCCCCCCTAACATCCCGGCCCCCACCATCTTCTGTCTACAGACATCCTGCCCCCCCTCCCTCGTCTGTGGACACCTCACCCCCCTGTCATCTATCTATGAACACAGGCCCCCCTTTCATTTACTGTCTATTCACACCCTGCCTATAGACATCCAGGACCCTGACATCTCCTGTCTATGGCCCCCTGGCATCTACTGCCTATGGACACCTAGACCCCTGCCATTTCCTGTCTATTCACACCCTGCCATCTCCTATCTATGAACATACTGCTCCCCTGAAATCTCCTGCCTATGGACACCTAGACCCCTGCCATTTCCTGTCTATTCACACCCTGCTATCTCCTATCTATGAACATACTGATCCCCTGAAATCTCCTGCCTATG